GGAGAATAAAAAAGGCAAATAGGAATCTGCACGGAACTGAGCTCCAGGTCTTGATTTGCACCCTCTCCTGCCAAGGACTTGAGCCCCCGTCCCCAGGAGAAGGAAGGGGAGAGGCTGAAGTCACCGAGTTCCCCATTAGCTTTCATTTGGCCCTTTGTCTGAGCAGTTTCAGCCTTTGACTCTTTTGGAGAGGAAGCCAAATGCCTGGCCTGAGGCCCAGAATGACACTCAGATGGGAGATCTCGGCACCCTCGCCTCCCCCACTCCCGGGTGCTCCGCCTCCTCCCCAGTGCCAGGCTGCCCAGAAATAAGACAGAGCAAGTGACGGGAATTAGAGTCCCCTTTGCTCTCCAGCACCTCAGCCTAGTGCTTAGGTAACGGAACCGAATCTCAGTGCCTCAGTTTTCCTTGGTGGAATGAAGAGGAAAGTAGAACTTTGAGTTAGTTAGCCCAGGCTCAGCCCTTTGGCTTCTCTGAAGGCTGTGGGGATTGACTTCGGTGCAGCTTGTTTGTGACTAGAGTGGGAAGATTTTTTTTTTTTTTTGGTGGGTGGGAGGCGGTTGGGAAGATTTTATTCAGAACTCAGGCCTGCAATGGGGTGGGAAAGGCATACTGTGTGTCATGAGCTTGTGAGGGTGGGGGCAGGCAGTGGGGCCCGTGTGTTATCCCAGGTAGAGGAGGACTGCGTTGACGGCTTTGCCTCAAGTTGGTATGTGCTCAGAAGTGGCATTCGCGATACCAGTCAGGGTCCACGTTCATTTATGCCACTAAATCCCTTCCAGATGCCTGCGTTCTACAGATAACCGGGTTAATCTGCTGGAAAAGGAAACATTAACAGGTTGTGAAATTATTTTTGTGAAGGGTATTCTGTGTCTCTCTCCTGCATCCTGGCCCCATCCTTGGCCCAGAAAATCTAGTCAAGGAGTGTGGGTTCCTGAAAACCAAAGTAGCAGAATTCCTCAATTTCTCGGAGCCAACAATGCGCACTGTAACAAGTGAGCACTGTGGGGTGGCTAAGGGTTTGGGGATCCGGGCTCAGTTAGGCTGGTGTCTAGAGAACCTTCCCCCTGCCTGGAAGGGGACAGGGATCCATTTTAGGGATGACACATGGCAGGAGAATAGTAAGGGCCGACACACTTCCTCATTAGGAGGGGGTCAGGGCTTAACAGCTCAGTAGGGAGCATCTCTCTCTCCCCTCCAGCCGCCAGAGAGAGGCCCTGCATGAACACAAGGCCTTGGGACCAGCTGTTCTTACACACTGCTCCCTTGAGGGCTTCCAACAAATGGGGTAGACACAGGAACACAGAAGCCGCAGATGTAAGATGCTCATAGGGTGTTCCTCACGAGTCAGTGTCAGTGTAGAGCACATAGAGCGTGTAAAGGCCGAGTGATAGGGGCTCATGAAGTCTATCCAGGCCGGGAGGGCTTCGTTGAGGAGGAGGAGGTTGATGGAGGCCAGCTTCTGTAAGGCCTGTCCTAGCTGACTGACGCATGATGAGGCAGCAGAGGGACTTCTCTGGGGGTCAGAGATGGTCCTTGTAGGACAATTTGGCATTCCTAGAAGGCGTTTATCTAGCCAGGAATGGCCACAAGTTCAGGAGGTTCTGACCTGCGGAGGAGGACAAGGACCTAGAAGCAAGATAAGGACAAAAGAAGGTAATAGAAGAGATACAAGAGGAGCAGCCCTCAGCTCTGGAGACCAAAGAGCAGATTTCCTGTGGCAGAAAACAGCTTTTGCCAAGGATCTCCTAATGTGGCCTCCTTTGGTGTTTAGAGCTAAGGGGAGGAATGGGGTGGGGCCAGTGAGGGAGGAGTGTGGGCCTGGGACTTGGGGGCAGGCCAGCTTGAACTCAGCCCCTGGCTCTGTGTCACCTAGGCAGATCACTTAAGCCCCCTGTGTGAGGGGGGCTTTTCTCATCGGTAAAATGGGATTTTTAATTTCTACAAAAATTTTATTCATTTATTTGGCAGAGAGAGAAAGCACATAAGAGCAAACACAAGTAGGCAGAGCAGCAGGAGAGGGAGAGGGGCAGCAGGCTCCCTGCCAAGCAGGGGACCCTTGCAGGGGATGTGGGGCTCCATCCCAGGGCCCTGGCATTGTGACCTGAGCCAAAGGCCCCCCTAAAATGGGGTTTTATTTTTTTAAATTTTTTTTTAATTTTTATTTATTTATGATACTCACAGAGAGAGAGAGAGGCAGAGACATAGGCAGAGGGAGAAGCAGGCTCCATGCACCGGGAGCCCGATGTGGGATTCGATCCCGGGTCTCCAGGATCGCGCCCTGGGCCAAAGGCAGGCGCCAAACCGCTGCGCCACCCAGGGATCCCCTTTTTTTAATTTTTTTAAAAGATTTTATTTATTCATGAGAGACAGAGAGATAGAGAGAGAGAGAGGCAGAGATACAGGCAGAGGGAGAGGCAGGCTCCATGCAGAGAGCCTGACGTGGGACTCGATCCTGGGTCTCCAGGATCCCGCCCTGGGCTGAAGGCAGGCGCTAAACCACTGAGCCACCAGGGCTGCCCTAAAATGGGGTTTTAAAAGCACCCATTTTACGCCAGTGTGAAGATGAAATGGCAGCTGTCCATTCTCAGTGCACAACAGAGGGCCCATTGTGTCTTAGGCACACAGCACACTCCTGACAGGTCCATCGCACTGGTGTGCACGAGTCACTCATTCCAGGACACATGAATGGAGTTCATCTGATGTTTAAAGCACCTGACCGGACGTGAGCACTTGGTCACAAATATAAAAAAAGGCAGGAATCCTGCCTTTAGGGAACTCGCTGTCCAGTGGGGGAGGTAATAAAAATACCACCTGTTGATGTCGACAAGCATATAATGGGTCATGTCATTTACTTGCCAGAGCAACTGGAATAAGCTGTACTTCCAGTATTCCCATTCTATAAAGGAGACATGGGGGGTCAAGTGACTTGGCCAAGGTCGTAGCCGGTGAGGCAGAGCCAGGCTTCAAACCTAGCCAGTGACTGCAGAACTTACCAGTGTAAGCCTGAGCCCCACACAGAAGTAGGGGGTGTGGGCTACATGAAAGGCCAAGCACAGTGCTGTGAGAAGGGAGAGATGATGTCCAGCCAGGGGATCAGGGAAAACTCTGTGGAGAGGTAGCGTTTGAGCTTGACCTTGAGGGATAAGCGGAGAAGTGAATGGGAGGAAAATAGCATTCCAGGCAGATAATGAAGCAACAGGAGCAATGGGCAGAGATGGAAGTAGTGGGGCCCTCGAGGGCCGTGCAGCGGGGATGCTGGAAGACGGCCGCAGTTCGGCTGAGGACATGGGCCTGTGCGGAGATTTTGGTGAGCATCGGGGCTGGGAGAGGTGCTGAGAGCAGCCCATGGGGACCTTGAGTGCTGTGCAAGAGCCTGCTCTTCTCTGTAGCATTGTGAGGAACCTGCTGAGAGGTGTGCCCTGGTATCTCAGAGGTAAAGGGGGAGTTGTGGGGGGAGCAGGGCGGGGGAGGATGAGGCTGCAGCATGAGCTATGTGGTTATGACAGAGCTCACACAGGGGACTGTGACAGCCTGGACCAGAGAGTAGAGGAGGAAGGTGACCCTGCAGGTCTGCATCAGGTGGCCCGCAGAGGACAGGAGCTGACTCCGGCTGCTGGTTGGGGGAGGCCAGCTCCCTGTGGGACAGGACTGGCCCCCTCCAGTGGCTGCCTCTTGCCCCAGCATATGCCCCCCCATAGATCTTCCAGTCAGGAGCGGGCTCATCCGTTGCACACTTCCTTCTTTCTTTACCCTCCACCCTCCTCCAGCTCTTGGCACAGTTGCTGCTTTACCTTCCTGTCACACGTTGCAGCCAAGAGCAGGGCACCCTGAAGGTCCCCATTCACTGGACAGGAGAACAGGCCAATTGGCAGAAGCAGGGCTTTTCCCATTTCCGGCCCTGAACCTCCTAGCAGCGTCCAGAGGGGCTGAAGGAACTGTGTGGGGGTCTTGTGAGTCCCGGGGCGGCGGGGGGAGCGAGGCAGGGCATGCTGCCAGGGCCACGGGCGAGGCCGGAGCCTGTGTCAAAGGGTTCTGGCGGAGCCGAGGGCGTGAGATGGATGGTTGGACGGCACAGCTGGGGTACCCATCGGGGACCTAGGAGAGGCTCAGGAAGGTTGCTGGGGATGCTGGCGTCCCACTCCCACCCTCTGCCCCTGCCATTGCCCACAGGCCAGGTGAGTGCCCAGGTGACGGCGCTCTACGTGGGCAGCTGACCCCACCACCTCTGGAGGGCACAGGGCTGCAGGTGTGGGGTGGGGGATCTGCTGTCTGGCGGCGTCTTCTCCTTTGACTCCAAACAGACATGTCCTTCCTCCTCCCATGTGATTCAGGGGAGAGGCGCTGTCGGTGGAAAGCAACCGAATTGGGTGTTGATGACCCTCCAAGGCTCCACGCTCCTCTTCCCTCCCACTCCAGGATAACTGCGCTTTGCCACTTTGCTGTAGCATTGACTATCCTGGTCTCCTCTCACAACAGCCTGGTGAGGCTGAGAAGCCACATCCTGATGACCTGGAATGCCCATTGGTCTTTCTGTGGGCCTGGCTTGGGGTCCCAGTCTTCCCACCAATACGCCTTGTGGCAGGGCAATAGATCTGTCTTTCCCCTGGAGGCGCCCAGGTGATGTCAAGTGATCATCAGATGACAAACTTGGAGTTTTAGATAGTTACGTTCTGTTTATGGCAAGTATATGCATTTCATATAAGTTCCTACCCCAATACATTTATTTATACCAGCAGTTAGCTTTACATGAAACATTAAGTAGGAATATGTAGGTCATACATAGACAGGGTGAAAATGGCAAAGGAAGTCTAGGGAAGGGTGCTGAGGAAGAAAACCCACTTCTCAGAGCCTGTTTTTTCTTTCTTTCTTTCTTTCTTTCTTCTTTCTTTCTTTCTTTCTTTCTTTCTTTCTTTTTCTTTCTTTCTTTCTTTCTTTCTTTCTTTCTTTCTTTCTTTCTTTTTTTTAAAGATTATATTTATTTATTCATGAGAGACACACACACACACAGAGAGAGAGAGGCAGAGGGAGAAGCAGGCTCCCTGCGGGGAGCCCAATATGGGACTCAATCCCAGAACCCAGGATCACACCCTGAGCCAAGGCAGATGCTCAGCCGCTGAGCCACCCAGGGGCCCTGTAGATCCTGTTTCTTGATCCATACAGTGGGGTATCTGACAAAACAAGAGGGCAGAGCTTGTCACTGTATAGCCAGAGGGCTCCAGGTTAGGCGGCTGGGACTCCGTGGGCTCCTTACAGATGCTCGGAGGGTGCATGCCCAGTGGCCTTCCAGCTCTCCTACACGGAGAAAGTGTGAACTGCAGTGGGAAAGCCTGAAGCACGACATGAAGAACAGCTTTAGAATGAAACTTTTCGAGGCCTAGGATGTGCCCGGATGGAGGAGATGGTGGGTGGGTGCAGGGGGTGCTGGCAAGGACAGTGGTGAGAGCCTCCTGGGCTTTGTCAGCACGGAATCACTCCCAGATGTGCTGTTGAGTGGAACCGGTCAGCCCTGGCATGTGTGCACATCAGTGGGACCAGGGCTGCATGGGGTGTGGGGAGGGGGATGGCTGTTAGATCCACTCCCACTCAGACTAATCGGAACCAGTTAGACCCTCTTAGGACTTTTCCAAGTGGCTCCTGAGAGCAAGTTGGGTGTGATTGGGCCCTGTCCTGAAGATGGGCCTGAAGCTCTGGCATTGGAAGGCTGGGGAAGAGTTCAGCCCCCTACAGCCCGGAGTTTGGGATTTAGCGGTGGCAATTTCTGCTTTGGGATCTTCTCTGATTAGGCCTCTCCCCTCTGCTTCCCTCCTCCCCACCCCCCTCCCCGGCTCCCTCTTAGGTTCTGAAGGCAAGAGAAATCCTGGGATCTGAGAAGGTCCCACACTCCAGAGCAAGACAGAAGCTTGCCCTCTGGCTCTTTCTCCCTGGGTGACATCATTCCCCTTGGGGCCAGGAAAGGCAGCTTGCTCAGTGGAGACCCAGCTGATGCTCCTGCCTCCCCGACTGCCTCCCCTACACTTCCTTCTCCTCTGGCCTTCCCTCCCACAGCTGCCTTCTGCACTCAGTGTCTGCACGGTGGCTGGACAGCCAGGCCGGCCTGAGAATGGGCTAGAGGGTGTGGGGTTTCCCTTTCCCTCTTGGGCTCTTACTCTGTGGGGGAAGGGGTGGCTGGGACAGAAGGAGCAGGGCAGAGACAAGTTCCTCCTTGATGGGACCCAGCCGATGAACAGGATCCTATCGTTGCTGTGTGTTAAGGTCTCCCGAGGAAGAACTGTTCTGGAAGTTCCTAGAAGTCTTATGATAACCCTAAGAACTCCCCTCCGGGCCATGCGTACACACTCATTATGTCACCTCAGCTGGCCAGAGCTTTAGGAAGCAGAAACTCTTATTCCCATTTTGAAGAACGGAGAAAGTGAGCAGCAGTTTAAACCGCCAGGGCAGGTCCCACAGCTTCTGTGGAGCAGAGTGGGGATTTGAACTCCGTGCGTTCTATCTCTAGAACCCAAGACCTTAACCAACACAGAGTCTCACTTTCCACCCGGGTATAATTCCATCTCCTGTTAACCTAAATGGGGCTTCTGTTTCACGGGCGGCTCCAAATTCATACATACCCACACAGTCATTCTCCCTGGAAAAGGGTACAAAATGTCAGCGTTATTTCCTCAGGATTTTTCCATACTGGAAGAGATTGAATGGGGGCATTTCATTCCTCCCACTGCCTCTGATCTGACCTGGACTGTGTTCAGCCTTCTGGAAGGAAGCCTGCAAGCCTCAGACTCCTTGCCTGTTGGTGAAATGAAGCCACTAGCCATCTCCCTGCCTCTTTCTCCCTGTGGGGTGCGTCATTGTCTGCGGGCAGCACATCTGGAGAGCTGACTTGGGTATTCAGTGGTACTCAATACATGCTTTGTGGGGGTGTGGCAGGGGCAGGGTGCTACCTAGGACCTGGGGAGACAGTAACAATTTGTGGGTCTTGGGTGCTGCCCTCAGTGGTGGAGGCTCCCTGAACGTTTCATGAACCGCTGAGCACTTACATGTGCAGGAGGCTGGGCGGTATAAGCCAGCACCGAGGGGTGGTGGGGGTGGTGAGCTGTCACTGTCGCCGAGAAGGTTCCAACGCAGCATGGGGCATGCATGGGAACAGACGTGGGCCTCCAGGTGGCGGGATCACAGGCGTGGCCTGGGAAGCCTGGCCTGGTGGCCCAAGGGCTTTCCTTCCGGGAGATGGCAAAGCAGATGTGAGGCATCTGGGGACCCGAGTAGGGGCCTTGAGTGGAAAAGCCGAAAGTAGCTCTGAGGTCCGGGTTGAGGTGACAGGGAAGGGGATCAGAGAAGCAGATGGCAGGCAGAGAGCTCAAGGACTGTGGTTTGAGGCTTTGGGTCTTCTTCTCCACAACTCTGCCCTGGGTCTTCCCAGTTGCGGGCCAGCAGCATCCAAAAGGAGAAGGGGTCAGCAGGCTGGAACCCAGAGGGGTCAGAGCAGGGGGCTGTCCACAGGCATAGCCACCTCCCAGGCTGTGTCCCTTGCTGCTGCAGCCGCCACTTGCCTGGGCCATCTGGCCTGTCCCAGGATCACCGTGGCCTGTAGCCACCACCCAGCAAAGCTGTCCTTGCCTTCAGGGACATTAGTCCCTGGGCAGTCGGTGTGGCTGACTCAGTCCCATCCCCCATCCCCCACCCTGTGCTGGCTGCATTGGCAGGGGGGGCCCCGACCCCACAGCCTAAGGGGGTCATCTGCCAGGGCAGTCCTGAGCATCCGTGTGCCTGCTATCCTGACCCCCTACCTCTGCACCCGTGGGCTTGGTTCCATGCGTTAGGAAAAGGCTGGGGGTGAGATGATCCCAGTGGATCCCTGGGGGAGCTTCAGAGATAGCTGGTCCCCTCCCGCCGGGTGTGCTGTTGGGAGCAGAACAGATCCTGGGCAAAAGCCGGCAGGACCCGGGCCACTGGGACGAGAATGTCATCAGAGCAGCAGTCCCTGCACGGCTGCCACGCGTGGCCCCCATGCACGGCCCTCACCCTCTTGGCCTCTTCCAGCTGCCACCTGGGCCCCAGGCCTCAGATGCCTATGGGAGGCAGGGAGGCTGACTTCCCTCGTCTCCACTCCTGGCCTGAGCACGGGAGGTGGGCAGAAGGAGCACTGGAGTCCCTGGAGGAGAGCAGGTGTTTGGGAGGCAGGGAAGGGGCGAGGAGGGCTGCTGCAGGGAGAGCTGCTGCTCATGGGGCTCTGGGTGCCTTGTCTCCCTCCTGACTAGCCAGGTGTGCACAGGGAAGGAGGCCCAGGCCTACTCTTTGTCTTTGGGAATCTGAGCTCCCTGTCCTGCCCTCCTGTCCCTCTCCCTCCTCTGCTGCCCTGGGGGAGACAAAGGGGCCCCAAAGCCCATGCCAGGGCCAGCCGTGTGAAGTAACCAGCGCTTGGTAGCATTCCAAGTGGGGCTGCTTGTGTCCCAGGGGGTGAGCTGTGACCTCAGGCAGGTGACCTCACCCCCCACTCCTCCCCCCCCTTACCTCATTAAAATAAGGACAGTAAGAGCAGCCTTGTGGGATTTATAGGAAGATCATAAGAGGTGGTGCCCAGAGGGCCCTCCGCTCCCTTCCTGTCATGGGGTGAATGCTCCCAACTGTCGCGGCTTTGCCCTGGTTAGCGTTGGGGGTAGTCGGCGTTGGGGAGGCTCCAGAGAAGAGCATGGGCGCGGGAAAGGCCAAAGGTGCCCACTTGTGTTTCTGGGGTGCACCTGTCAGCGTTAAGGCACCTCCTTTCCCAGCTCTGATTCGCTTTGTGCTGGGCCCCATGGAGGGGTCAGGGCAGGCTGGAGTGACCCCACGGGCGTGGGCTTGGGCAGTGAGGGCTCTAGGTCCTGGTGGTGAGGGTGGCGCTCCCACCCCGTGGCTCCCCATCCTCCGCCCCACCCCCCAGGCTCACAGGCCTGAGCTCCCCCCAACCCCGTGGCTCCCCATCATCCGGCCCCGCCAGGCTCACCGGCCTGCCCTGCGCTTTCCCTCCCCCTGCAGGTGTCCATGAAGGAAGTGGGTGATGACTTGCAAGATCAGATGAACTGCATGATGGGTGCACTGCAGGAACTGAAGCTCCTCCAGGTGCAGGCGGCGCTGGAACGGCTGGACATCTCTGCAGGGAGCACAGCCCCAGGTGGCCCAGGGAGCCCTGGAACACAGCCGGAGCCCGCTCGCTGGGCCGCCACAGCCCACTGCGCCTCCAGGTGTCTTCCTCTGAGCACCGAGCTTCCGGCCCCTGGCAGCGTGTGCGGGTGCGGTGTGCAGCCCCTCCCCGGGGCACAGCCTGCAGGGCACCAGGGCCGCACGCAGCCGGGGCCAGAGCCACTGGAACCTGAAGACTGGACCTCCACGTTGATGTCCCGGGGCCGGAACCGACAGCCGCTGGTGCTGGGGGACAACGTCTTTGCGGACCTGGTGGGCAACTGGCTGGACCTGCCGGAGCTGGAGAAGGGGGCGGAGAAGGGGGAGGTGGGGGAGCCCCAAGGGGAGAGGAGCCAGCCCCGGGAGCTGGGCCGCAGGTTCTCTCTCACAGCGAACATCTTTAGGAAGTTCCTGCGCAGCGTGCGGCCGGACCGGGACAGGCTGCTGAAGGAGAAGCCGGGCTGGGCAACCCCCACGGCCTCCGAGCCCAGGGCCGCCCGCTCACACAAGGCCAAGAAGCGGAGCCATCCCAAGGGCCCTGGACGGTTCCCCTTCCCAGGCACCGCAGAGCCCGGACGCGGGGAAGGCCCTGCCGCCAGCTGCCCCAAGGCCCTGGAGCCCTCGCCCTCTGGCTTTGATATCAACACGGCTGTTTGGGTCTGAGTCCTGGAGACAGAAAGTTGACTGAGCCCCAGAGCGGGCCCCGTGTGCTGGGAAGCATGGGCTGTGGACACTATGGCTTTCGAAAGCCAAACTCCTGAGTTCCTTTCCCCCAGGAAGGAGGGCGAAACAGCGAGAGTGTCTGGAGCTGAGGGTTGTGTATGGTTGAGTCAGGCTGTGGTGGGGGGCTGGCTGTTGAGGAGGTGAGGGCTCCTGGGCATGGAGAGACGTGGCAGGGGGGGTACTCACCTTGGGGCTGCAGGTGACAAGAGGGGCAGGAACAGAGCAGTGGGCAATCTTGATCCTTCACTGCCCCCAAAGACCTCAGTTGAACATTTTGTAAGATTAGAGTGCTGGGGTCTCTGGTCCCCCCCCAGAGGCTCCCAATAAAGACCTCGTCTGTCTCTCTGTCATCCCCAACCTCATCACCGCGGGCTCCTTGACAAAGCACCGCTCCAGGCACAGGTGTGCAACGCCAGCCCTCCCGGGATTGGGAGCAGGAGAGAGGAGCCTTCCCCATCCCACCTCTCCCTGTTGCCTTCAAGATTCCGGCCACACCCGGGCCTGAAAAATGGGCAGAGTGGACCTGCGGGGACCTAGAGATGGCCCTGGATCTTTCAAAGGCACAGGAAAGATACGTGTACAGCACTTTTTTTTGTTATTGTTTGTCTTTAAAGATTTTATTTATTTATTCATGAGAGACACACACAGAGAGGCAGAGACACAGGCAGAGGGAGAAGCAGGCTCCCTGCAGGGAGCCAATAAGGGGACTCCATCCCAGGTCCCCAGGATCACGGCCTGGGCTGAAGGCGGCACTAAACCACTGAGCCACCCGGGCTGCCCTGTATAACACTTTAAATGCTGGAAAGCCCTTTCCTAGCCATTGCCACCTCTTGAGGAAGCAAGTAAGGCAGATGTTTCCCTGTCTTGCAGCCAACGAGGCCGAGGCCGCCTGGATGTGCCACCTGTGGGCCGGAAGCAGGAGGGCAGGGCGGCAGGGGGCAGGCCCAGACCAAGGGCAGCAGCATCCCCACCCCCATGCCCCTTCCCTGGCTCCTGCCCCCAAGACACAGCAGGCGGGGGTCCCCCAGAGGGAAGGGGTGCCCCTCAGAGGCACGCACGCATTTTTAGGTGCCCAACTCCCCATGGGGCATGGAGGTACCTCCTGGGAGACCGGACCCCAACTGGTGGGGAGGGAAGGGCCAGGGGTGGCTCTGCCCTATAGCGCAGGGCCCTCCCGCCCCACCTGCGCTGCCGGCTGCTGGCTGGGGACAGACCGCCCTGTCTCCACTACCCCCCTCCCCACTGAGCTCCCCTCTGCCTGATAGGGGTGGGGTGACAACTGCAGTTAGGTGCGGGCCGCCTTCCTGCCCTCAGAGCATTAAGGGCAAATTGGAGGAGAATAATCCCAAGGAAGGCTCTTTGTGCCTTCCAGAGCCCTGGAGACCAAGCTGGAGGAGGGAGGAGGCTTCCATCACCCTCAGACCCCCCTCCGCCAAATGGTAGATGTTTCATGCTTTGGTGGTGGGAGCCACAGGAAGGAAGGTGCTAAATTTATTTATTCAGTGCTTGCTATTTGCCGGGCAGTGTGCAAAACAGGCCTTTCTAGATTGACCCTAGAAAGGGTTGTCTCCCTGGTGGATCAGTGGAGGTTCATAGGGGTCCTGAGGGCTGCCCAGATTAGCCCGCGGACTCATGCAAGAACAAGATTTGAAACAGGATTGGCTGGCTGCAAAACAGCCTTCCTGCCCTCCCCGGAGTTTGCCGTTTGCCGACTGAGCCAGCCCTTTCTGGAGGAGCAAGCCCCTGCTCATCCTCTCTGTCTCCCCAGGGAGGGCGTGGTGATACTTCAGTGCTGGGTGAAGGCCCGTTGGCTTCGGCTGCCACGTGCTGGTGCTGGTGCTGGTGGCGGTGCTGCTGGTGGTGGCGGTGCTGGTGGAGGTGCTGCTGGTGGTGGCGGTGCTGTGCATGTGAGCATGTGTGCATGTGGGAGAGGGTTCCTCCCACCAGGCGGTGGTGCAGCCGCCGGATCCCAGTGGGGGACGATCCCGCCACTCCACCCCCGCCCCCCATCCGGACCCTGTGTTTTGTGTGCCCCCCCCCCCCCCGCAGCTCCCTCCAGGAACTCCTCCCGGGGCCGAGCGCTCTGCGGGAGTTACGGGCAGCAAGGCGAGGGGGTTCCCAGCGCTAGGGGTCCGGGGCCAGCCGCCTAAACCGCGGGTCAGCCAGAGGGACCCGAGGGAGGGGACGCTCGCCTTCCCGGGGCGGAGCAAGGCCGGGGGAGCGCCCTCTGCCCACGGAAGGCACAGGCGCCCGCGCCCGCACGCTCCGACCCCTCCGCATCTCGCCCGGGGCGGCGGCCGGGCCTGGCCCTTCCCGCGGAGACGTCGGGAGAAGCGACCGGATGGCTCCCGGCCTCGTGCTGCGCCGCGCTGCGCAGAGTAGCCACGTCTGCTCCAGAAGCCAAGAGGAACGACGACAAAACCTGCCCCCTCCCCTGTTAACCACGCGCGGCTGATGAAGGGGCTGATCCCTGCGCGGCGGGGGTGGTGCCCCGGGTGCCCCCGGGCGCTGGGACCTCGCCCGCCCCCCCCCGCCCCCCCAGGTGTTGCGGGGGAGCGCAGGGGCGGGGCTGCGGAGGGCGGAGGGGGGCAGAGGGGAACGGACGGTTCACTGGGCCCCTGGGGCTCACTCTCCGGCCAATCAGGACCCGCAAGTAAGCGGGGCGCCTTCACTACCCTCGCTGCGTGGAGCCCCCCACACCCGCAGCCCGCCTTGAGCGCGTCCCGGCACCCACCCCTCAGGTTGAGCCCAACCTGGACTTGCCCAGAGGAACGGAGGCCCGCTTGGGGTTGGGCTTCGTCCCCACTACATTCCCCTTGCTCCATATTCGGGAATGCTCCCCTGGCTTGCCCAGGTTGCAGCACTCCCCGCAGGGCCTCCACAGCTCGTGCCTCTGGGTGGCAGGGGTCTGGCTCTCAGTGCACAGCGGGACACCTCCCCCTTCCCCACCCGGAGCAGGTAAGGCACTCCTGCCAGGACCATGGAATGAGCACGGGATCTGGGGTCAAACAGGATGTGAGACCGACCCCTTTCTGTCCCTGTCAGCTCCGGTATGCTGCTTGACCTCTCCACTCCTCCGTTTTCTGGTCTCTGACATGGGGACAAGGCAAGGCTCTGAAGATTCAAAGGGTGTAACGCACACAGTCTAGAACACAGCAAAAGCTCTCCACGGCACCTCAGACCTTCAGTTCAGGCACTGACCCTGTGAACCAGAGCAAAACCACGAGGGAAAAAAAAATAATATAAACTTTCATTAGAGCTTGAGTTCTTCTTCCTCTGTTAAAAAAAAAAAATGTATACTGGCTGGATGGGCTCCCTGGACTGGGGCTGGGATCAGGGAAGACAGCAGGTGTCTCTACTGTCTCCCCTCTGGTGTTTTGTACATTGTGAACATGTAACCCAGCTGGGCTGTTATTTGCCAAATGGCCAACAATTGACACTTTCTTGTAGAGGATGACGTGGCGTGGGGGGAGAAGGCAGCAGGGGGGCCGAGCTCAGAGATGACGCCTGAGGACCCCAGTGGCCGAGGATGTGCTCCAGGTGGCCCTGCCACCCCTCCCACACCCAGCAGTCCTCCTGCCACCCTGCAGGCCCCGCACACTCCCGGCAGGGCCTGGAGAGTCAGATGAGCCAGGTTGTGAGGCTTCAGGGACGGTCCAGCCCTCCCTGTTCTGCTCTCTGCTCCTAAGGTCCTTGGTCACTGCAGTCCCCCACACACCCTGCACCTCACCCCCGACCTCTCCCAGTGACCCTGGGGACTGACAGCCTAAAGGTGCTCGTGGCTGTCCTACTAGGGTGCACGCCACCCCCACCCCCATGGGGTGGGAGGTGCCCTGACTGCCCCTCACAGGGGTCTCATGGCTCAGGTGCCCTTTGAGGACCTCAGACTGCAGGCACCCCCTGGGTAGTGGTTTTATTTTGCTTTATTCTTATTCTTAAACTAATCTTTACACCTGATGTGAGGCTTGGACTCAGGACTCTGGGATCAGAGTCGCAGGCTCCACTGACTGAGCCGGCCAGGCATCCTGGAGGCAGTCACACTCCCCGCCCCCCTCCACCAACTCCCCCACCTTGTCTGCCTCCTGCTGGCCCCGCTACCACCTCCACCCGGTCCCTCTGAAGGCCCCTGTGTCCCCTGTCAGAGAGGCCTCTGTGTGGCACTGAGTGGGGAGCCCCCTGGCACCACAGTGCTTGGGGCAACTGTCTGGCAGGGGACTGTGAACTTGGGTGCAGGAGGGGGCAAGGAGGGGGCAGGAGGCGATGGGGGGCGGTGAAGATGGGGGGCAGGGGGGAGATGGGTGGGGTGGGAGGGAGCAGGGGGAGCAGGAGGTGGTGGGGGGCCGGGGAGCTGGGGGTGTGAGGGGAGCAGGGGGGAGTACATGGGGGCAGGAGGGGGCAGGGGCAACAGGAGGCGACAAGGGGGGGTGGGGAGAGCAGGAGGGGGCAGGAGGGGGCAGATCTCTGCTACCACGGCCTCAGGCTTCCACCCCACAGAACCCGTTCTCTCTGGATCTGCAACTCCCCACCCCCCACCCCCCACCCCTGCCAGGCTTGACTGACCCATTCCCAGGACCTATGGGACATTTTCCAGAAGTCACCTCCTGCATGCTCTGGGTCTCCAGCTCTGCTGCCCAGCTCTGGGCTGCCCCCCACCACCCTTCTCCCTGCCCCTACCCCTCTCCCTGCCGCCCAGCAGCCTCCACCTGCTTGCGGAGGGGAAGTTCTGGTTCCGACCCAGCAGGTGCCACTGCCCCTCCCCCACAGCTGCACTGCTGGTGGGGGAAGGTGTCTTCCTCCAGGGAAGGTCAGGTTCTGTCCTCCTGTTAGTGGCTCTGCCCTCGCTCTGCTCACCTCCTCCAGGCTGCAGCCTCCAGGAAATGCTGCCCATGGGGCAAGCAGGGAGGGGAGGCAATGTCTTCAAGGCACTGGGACTCCTCTCACCTGGCCTGGCCTGCCCCGACAGCCGTCAGCTGCTCCTACAGCCTCCAGGGAGGTGCACCCAAGGCCCCAGGCCTGGCCTTTTGGCCTCGAGGTCTTTCCATTAGCTATTCTCAGAGACCCCAGGTTTCCCGTGGCCTCAGACTGGCTACTTATTGGGCTTTCAGGGCTGGTTAAAGGGCACCTCCTCTGTGAGACCCTCCCTGGGCCTCGCACCTGTAGGCCCAACCACAGGTCTTCCTCTGTAAGCAGGGGCACCTCTGGGGTGGCAAGGGCTCCACAACTCACCATGTCCGTATCTCCAGCACTGAGCACAGGGCTCTCGGGGTGACTGTGACCTCTAGTTGCTGGGCCCCTGAGCCAGGAAGGCCGTGGTCAGGGCCACCCCAGCTGCTCCCGGGCCCACTGTCAG